TTACCCTGTCAATTAGTTCGTGCACACGGCACCAGTGGACAATGGCCGGTCTGTCGGTCACTCAAACTGACAACGGGCGTCGGCGGCGGCGATTTACATGCGATATGCGATTCGCAGATATGAGTGCCGCTCGACCTGAAGTATGTCCTTCTGCGAGTACATTTATGCATACGGTTTACAGACTCGTTGACGCTCAGTTACCGATGAAACTTGCTTCGCTGACCATCGTCAAAGCTCTGTGTTCCTCAAAGACCGTGTTTCCTCAGGTGTTTCTTCCTTATGAATCAGGTGATCGTCCGTTCTTTTTTTCACCGTTTGTCAGTGATTGAGCTCCTTCCGACTAAGCTCCTGGTCTAATCTTCCAACCGTCGTAATTGACGACCAGGTGGCGTGGACCACCCATGAGGATACTACTCGACGACCCTGATGGCAACCATGTACCGTCGGGGAACCAAGCAAGCCACGTGTCCGGGCGGTCTACCCTAGCGTATCGTTTCTGCTAACGAGAACGACCTGATCAACGAGCTTGGTGTATGATCGCGATATGAAATTTTTTTCATTCTTTTCTTCCTGACTGTCTCGGTGACATATTTAATATGTAATATAGTCAGCGTTGTTCGGCCTTCGTGAGTGGATACCTCTCACAGCCGTATAACGTTGCCTGCAGGAACTTAAAATAGAAGACGGTTTCTTTTTCGATGTTGCTGAAAAAGGGAGGTACTTTATGTAAAGGAACGCGCGCCAACCGGCCGTCTTTCCTCGTTGAATCTTTGAAGCCTGCTCGTGCCGTCTTTCGTGCTATTGTGGCATGTGTTGCAGCTGACTGACGTTTTTCGGAAGCAGTCAAACCTTGGCTGACCAAAGATGGGAGCTAGAGTTCCCCGGCACGCTTGAGGTATTGACTTAATTTATTGATTTATATTTGTGCTTCATCTCAACGATCCTGAAATCCGGTGTAACATCGAGAGGACGTATTGGTAGAACATGTATTTACTGTTTGAATCGTTACCGAGAGCCATTTTCATAGGCAGAACGTCTCCGGCCAGTGACGTTGCATGTACTGCGGCGTTTCAACACTTTTGCTATAAGGCACCAGTTGCTGCATCGTGGAAGGAACAGTTACTCTTTGAAAGCTGATCTGCCTCTGCCTCATTTACCCTTGCTGCATGTAGGCTCCTCTTCGGCGTCTGTGTTTCGACTCATGCATCAGTAGCTGGAGTAAATGATTAATGCTCAAACAGTTTATGCAACAGGCCAAACCTCCGTTTCATGATCTTCACGTATGGCCGTAAGAGAAGAAAGTCATTCTTTACATGGTCCTGCCATTTAAGCCTCATGAGTCCTAGCGAACGCTGCTGTACGTTGTTTAACCGTCGTTCCTGTAGCTTCGTTGGAATGGCTGTCTCCGCGCGCTGTACAGCAACACTGACCCAAACTTGAATAGGTTACCAAAATCACGCTAGATGAGGGTCATCCTTGTCTGTCTCTGGTCGGCTGGTACCTTCATCACAGCTGATGGGCCGAAATAGTTAAACTCATCAGCATTCCTTAAAGTTTCACCTTCTGCTTTACTTGCTGATCATCTGTACCGAATGTAGTGATCATAGCTCTTGCTGACATTTAGGAAGACTAAAAGAAAGGAAATGGGGCTTCTTCGACGTCCTGAGAAACAAGGGATATTAAGATGCTCTCTTCAATTACTTGGAATATGGTACTATAAGTGACTGTTGTAAATCCGTTGCAAAGTTTAAAACAGCTTGATTATTTAATCCTCATTCTTCTTAGTTATACATCAACAGTAAGTGAGAATTTCGTGATTCTTCCATGGAAATATTACTGCAGGCAATTTTTCTCCTACGTGCAGATCAGAAGGAGACGAATCATTGTGTGAAACGAATCACATGTGATACTGGACGAAATTACGCCATGAGGATCACGTAAGATCATAAGCATCTTTGAGGACTAATGCAACATGACGTCGTCTTTGTGAAGGGAGATTTGTGTCGAATAGCTATGGAGTTTTCCTCAATGTTTGAGTAC